AGCAAGAAGGTCTACTGCTCCCCCGAAAGGACAGCAAGGTCTACTGATCCACTCAAAAAGACAGCAAGAAGGTCTACTGCTCCCCCGAAAGGACAACAAGAAAGATGCTTTGTAACAACTTATACTCATTTAATATTGATCTTACCCAGCAATGATGTTTTCTCGAATGCAAGTTTTTCTTCGTGTTCCGCGTAGCTCAGACCTTTGAAGCCAATTTCAATGATTGCATAGTTTTCTCTTCAAAAAGAAAATAAGGTTTAATAATAATGATTTTGATGAATGATTTTGCGCGAGCGTGTCTCTGTCTTCTGATATAAACACGGCTGCCAGCCAATCAGCGCGCGCGTTATTTACCAATTACATTTATTCGCAGAAGGCGAATTGAATATTTCCCGATATTCACTAAGCCTGAGGCGAATAATTGTTTTAGTATTTTTAACACAAGTGAATTTAATAAATAACGGGGAGAGAAATTTTTCAAATTTCATTTATCTCTGCAAACGTGAAGGTGTAGGTGAACAGCAGTAGCATAAGACGTAAATTTTGACCAATGAGTGCGCCGGATTTATTATATTCATATACTTGCGCAAAAATACTAAACCTCAAATATTATATATATCTTATAATGTCATGCTTCTTTTCGAAATTTATGATATTAATAGTTATGATATGGACAATAAATACTGATACGTTTCCTCAAGTTCGTTTCTCACAAGAATTATATATATATAATTGTGTATAATAATATATAATTATTAATATTATATAATATAGTTGTGGCTATTTTTCATTTAAACAGGAAGACTTTGAGCAGCAATTCTTGCAATGTGCCTTTCTCTAATGGAATAAAGAATTGTTTTATACCTGGAATAATTGGCAGAAAAGAGTTGGCTAACGCCTGCAGTAGATTTGTGCGGTAGAGTACCATAGCTTACTTCAGTGTTATACTTAGTGACTTCGCAAGCAACAGGACAGTCGCACTTACTAAAATTAAAGTAATCTAATAGAAAAGTAAACATGAAAATTGTTACTTGTACGGAATTGTTGATGCTTAAGGTAGTTTGTTCAAGGTTCTTTTTCACGCTCTACTCCTCCCGCCCATGGCTTTGTTCTTAAATACGCCGCTCCCCTACCCCATGAGATTTGCACACAAACACGCACGACACGCACGACACGCATTCCATTCATGTCAAACAATGATAGGTGGCGTCTCTACGGTCTGTGCATAGTGATGACAACAACGGTCATGAGCTGAATTTATGGGTAGTGTTATAGAATACTAGTTGTAGTGATGTTGATAATGCATGGAGGGTGGTAAAGGTTGTGATAATGGTGTTGATGATGCT